GGATGTGAGTCATATGCCGTCTGCAGTTGGAGGCTGAATCTCTAATGGGCCAAATACTAATACAATATACTGTCAGTGGCTATCTCTCTGCGCACTATTTGCTCTTCAGTATCGCTCTTTTGTGTGTAGGCGAAACGTTTAAGATTTGCATAATCAAATTGGATGTAAGTTTGGTGTATTTTGAAGTTTTTCTAGACCTTTGATAACAGGAGAATTTGCTATAAAGGTTTAGTTTAGTTTTTCTTTCTCATATTACGATGATTTAACACAGAAATTATGCATGTTACTAAAGTTATTCTGCACAACGAAGGGGTTTAGGCTGAAGTTTTAACGCTTATTTTGCCAAACCCTGTTAACATATTGAATAGGAGACAAGAGAGCAAAACTATTTACAGAAAACAACACAAAACTTATCTTTCATGAGTGCGGGAAAGAATATCTACTTAAATCTTTTGGTATACACACATACACAATACAGACACACAATCCAATACACGTCGATGTTCATACACACACACACACACAAACTGACCCATGTACACGTTAATATTCATATTCAAGTGAGGGTTATAGTTCATCTGTAAATTCCATAAGGTAAGATACATAATTTATTGTATTTATTTATAATTCTAGTCTTATACATTTTTTATTATGTGTAAATAGTTTTAGAGCCTTTTAATGTTTCGTCCAGACTGTTCCACAGATGAAAAGATTTTTTAAAAAGTGAATTATGTATTTTTTGTGTATTTTTTTTACATACTTGCATAATTATTAAACCTTGTGAATATATTTATTAAAGATCCTGTATTACCTCATTATTACCTCATCTAAAACATACCTGGAGTTGTGTTTTGTTTCATTTATGTGATCCTGCATTATTAGTCAGGTCTACATCTCCAAAATTCTAAATGCTCTTTTCCACCTTGTGATGTAATGAAGTGGTAACAGCTCTGTAACTTTTTTATCCAGGTCTGAAATTATCCAGATGATTCTAGGGAAGGTGTGTGGAGTTTCAAAGCACAATGGAGCATTTCCTGTATTAGGACATGACATCACAAGGTGGAACTGAGTGTTTTCAGTTTGAGAGAAGAAGCCTAAATATGTAGGATTTGTGTGTTAAACAACTGAAACAAAACATCTGAAACTTCTGATATTACATCTTTTTTTTGTAGCTTCATTGAAACGGCTTCTCTCCTCGATGCACCAGCAGATATTGAAGACTTTTTGTTGACAATCTGACCTGTACAGAAGGTAAAACAAAAATAACCCCTTAACGTCTGAAGGGTTTCTGAATTCTGTGTATTGTGCTGAATAAGTAAAATTTGATTAATCACCATAGTAAATATATAATTTTCATGCCTAACTTTGTGCACTGATAAATGGATAAAGGTTTATGTTTTATAGGCATATAACTGTTCCATGTCTAAGGCTTGCTGATATATGTACTCAGTTTCTTTGCGACTGCTAAAATAGAAAGCTCTCTGGCATTTTCGTTTTGTAAAAGTAGCTCACTGGAGGAAAAACTTTGGAGAACCTTGATATAGACGTATATAAAAAATGTTTTGTGTGTGTTTTTGCCTTTAAGTAGACGGTAAATTAAGTTGACATTATTAATTTGACTATAGGTTCCGGTCAAGTGGTAACGGAGGGAAACAGGGGCAGATTTTTTACATTCAAATAGCTCTTATTCAGAAACTAGAGGGACTATTGAAATAAGTAAAGTATCAGAATGTAGGAAAGAGTTAACACTCCAACAGGGTAAAGTTAAACCTGTGATATTCTTTCAAGTTGTTGACAAAAAATTAAAAACTCTCATGTTGGTAACGGAGGGAATGAAATATGCAGCACTTTTTGGGCAATAAATACAAACAGTGATAACTAGCGGTTCTCACTTACATATCCTTAACAAACTGGTTTGAATATTTGCTTAATATATAGTTTTCTACCATATGGTACAAGATTATTAGGTTGAGAAACCTCTTACTTTTTGAGTAATGAGATTTTTTTATTAAGAAAGGTCATGGTAACGGAGGGAAAACTGTGCAAGCAAGTAGAAGGTGCATGATTTTGCATAATTTGTCAGCTTTTTTCTTCCGAATACTTTAATATTACTTCAAAATGAAAGGTAACTATTTCTATAAAATATGTCAGTCCTTCCAAGCAAATTTTTATCATTTTAAATACTTAAAAAAAAAAAATCATGTATCTTCATCAACAGTTCAAAGATCAAATAACACAAGATATGATGAAATACATCAATTTATTTACATGATTTGCAGGTCTTTGAAATTTGGGAAATAATTAATACAAAATAATAAAATTAATAATAAAATAATTAATAAAATAAATGTTCCATGTTTCATATATGGTCTGTTTAAAATGTATGTAACTTTAGAACCAAAAATGGTACAGAAAAAGGTCAACAGTTTCATAAACTAGAGTACATATGTATCTGTTGAATACATTTTTATATCAGATGCATTAACTTGAATTTTTGGCCTTGCTGTATACTTCTGCTTGACCAGGCCCTATAGCAAAAAATAGATAGAAATTTGTTTGCAAATTTGTGACAACTAGACAAGTGCTTGCCAAAGGATCCTAGGAAAGTCCTGCATATGCACCAACCAGCACTGGGGGGATGCAGCCTCTATCTCGGCTTATATCTTGATCCAAAAGATTTGTTGCATATTTGTGACAGTCGGCGTAAAGAGTCTATATGGCTCCTCTAGTGTACTGTCGAGTAATGCAGTTTAATTGCGGCTAAATCACTTCATAACATCAGAAAGTGGAACAGAGCATTTTGATCTTTGGGAGATGCAGACACCCTGATCCAGGGTTACTCAAACATGTGTGAATGAAACAAAACACAACTCCAGCTTCCATGCTTTGAGGAGGTAACAACATTTTAATATGAATCAGTTTTAGGACCTTTAAAGTTTTATTTAATCTTCATACTTTTAATCCTTTACAGTACGTGCTTTATGTGCAAAGTACTCCACGGGTTTGTGACGCTGGACTCAATTTATAATTAATTTTAGCATACAGAATCTAAATGAGTCTCCTAATTATCTTCTATACGCTGTAATTACATTGTGTTCATCAGACATGCCTCCTGTTGTCAGGACTGTCACCACGTCCTGCCAAGGGACCAGAGACACAAGGCTAACATAGTTAACTCTGTGTGTGAACTCATGTAGTTATTCAAAACCTTATATAGTTGTATGTATTGTTTACAAATTAGCCATTCTATTATTAGCCATGATCAGTGGTGAAAAGTAACAAAGTAAAAGTAGTAAAGTACTGTACTTAAGTGTAAATTTAAGTATCTGTACTTTACTTAAAGGTGCATTGTGTCACTTTTCTGGTATCATTCGATTCATAAGCTGGTTTTACTTGGTGGAAACCGTCTAACCTCGCAGCATTAGGATTTGTTCGCTTGATGGTAGACGGGTGCTTTTTTTATTTAACCAATCGCTGCTATTTGGTCTTGACGTATGTAATGCACCAGAACGTTCAGTGGTGTCCAAGTAATTTCCGGCACAACAGCAAACAAAGCAGAGAGTGAACATTTCTGTCAGTGATCACTGTCATTTCTGTGAGCTGAACTTGCGAATTACAATTATTGCAATAAAAAAATGTTAAGTTTGTATTTGACAAAGGAAGTCCAAATAGTGTATGCAGTCTGCTATCACAACTCGGGTTGGTTTAACTCTTCGCTGATTTGCCGGTGTGCTGTCTACTACTTCTGGGATTCTTGCAAACCGTCTAGTGTATTCTGATTCCTGACCGAGCCACTGGAGAGAAATGAAATTGAGCAGAGGCACTAGGTGGCGCCAGCCTGGCTACTTTTCTGGTGGATGGTCCATCAAATGTGTTTTGCTCTGTCTGGAAA